GTTTTCCACAGTTCTTTGTTTTATGTTAATCTGAATAGCTTTTGCAATAAAATAGATTACCTTACAGCTCCTGAAAAAAACAGTCAGAAATGCTGTCATCACGATAAATTAGCAGAGTAGAACTTCCATTTCCTGACCAGGAATCGAACGTAGGCGACAAAGGTGAGAGTGCCAAATCCTAACCACTTGATCACCAGGGAAAGCAACAGACACATTCATATATTTTCTCAATGATACTGCCTTTGCGTTTTAATTTGCGATCATTTTCACTGTCGATTTATTTCTCAGTTTTTGAGTTTTTACAGGGTGGAAGAAAACCATTCCGCCCATTGTGTCAGTGCAGATCACCAAAACTCCATCTATTCCAGTCCCAGTTTCTAGCATTTAGCCCATAGCCTTGTGTGCTCTCATGGTTCAAGGGCAAATGTCAATCAGCTTGTCCCTGTAATCTCAAATGACACAATGAATTGAACTGAAGGTTCAGATGGTAAAACTGTGTAAATACTCCCTTAAGGAACTCATCCTCATTTTCACCTTCAGAGGGAGACACACAGACACATCCCCGAGAGTGACAGAGTCCTCATGATTATATCCACTCCATGTGCTTCATGTCCGTTCTCCATCCCCACACACAAGTTTCTGCAACAAAAGGCAGCTTCAGGTGGATCACAAGTGACTTCTGCAGAAAATGAGAACCATTAGCGTGAGCTGGGTTATGAAATGGACAGTGAGCTGAAATAGTCCGACAAGCTGCTCACATTCAACTGTCAATCTTGTGAACTCACTGACCCGATCACTGCAGCTTCTGGGAATCTAACAGGACAGGGCCCGGCAGACATCCCTCACTAACGAGAACTGACAGAAGGTGTTACAACAGGGAATGGCCAGACCCCTCTGATAATTAAACTAAAACACAAGCCCCGATCTGTTATGACAGAAGTAGGGGTTCCCGTCTAATAATTACCCCGTAAACACCCCCAGAAGCTCGCCTTTCCCTTCATAATCTATTAAAAGAGAATGTAATAGAAAGAAAATCCTTGATCTCCATTTTACAAGTGACAAGAAACAATTTATTTATTAAACCCAACAATGAACAAATTAACAAAATTACTAACAAACCGACAATTCCCCCTTAGACTGCTAACTACTCCTGAAATGGTCTAAATTCTACTATAATGCTGTCTAAATAAAAACAAGTCCCACTCATAGAAACTCAATTAATAAGAAGCAATAAATAACTTACAACTTAATCTCTCCAAGTTCGCACAGAATGTCTTCTGGAATATTCTGTCATCTCCGCTCTCTTCACAAGTGCCTTTCTTCCACTAACTCTGCTGTCAGCAATGATTTATCTCTATAATTTTTTCAATGAGGACTTTGAGCTAAAACGCTGTGGTCCTTTTGATGAATTCGATGTGCTTTCTCTGAGAGCTGAATGGTGCTAACTCTGGCAGATGACAGTCGGCTCTCTCCCTCGCCTTCTCTCCCCATGATGACATCATCACATTCTTACCATGTGATTGGTTTCAGGTTGTAAACACCATCAGATTTCAATCCAATTGGCTTCCTGTACCTAGGGCCTTCGTTTACATTAATTGGCCAAATTCAAACAAGACGGATGTTTTGCCTGCCGCCTGGAAGGCTTTCATACATTTGTTTCACTTTTTGAAGATCTCTGTACTGGCAACTTCAGCTGCTGCTCACAGAAAGATTTTTGTTTAAATTTCGAAGTACAGACAAAGCACAAATCTCAAAGGAACCACACATTTTAGCTTCTTGCCTTCCACTTCACAATTACTCTATCCAAATTCATAACATAAGGAAAACTCTAAACACTTTCACGTCGCACCTCTTTGTGCTTCTGTCCCTGTCTCACCTCCAGCTCCCAGCTCAATGACCTGCTTGGTACGAATGTAGGTAGATCATGAAGCCAATCTTTACCTGGAAAGCAGGGCCATGGATTGTAAGACAAGGCATTGAGAAACAATGAGCTTGCGCACAGCTGGGTAAAGAAACACCAGTGTCGCATTTTCCAGATTCTCCCAGGTACTGATTCCAGGAATATGCACAATACCAGTTATCCCCAATCTCAATGGATAACGTGCCTCACAGACAGGAGTGTATTTTGCAAGCATTGTCCTGTCACTTCACAAACTGAGGTCTCCAGCACTGCAGAAAGACCCTTCATGTCTGCAGCAGTCGTACTGAAGACCCTGAGTATTCTAATCTCATTTCCCAGCATTTCGTGCACAGCCTCAAATGTACATCTGAGCATGCCTCAACTCCAATGTTGTTCCATTCCAACAGTCAGTGAGTTGTATATTCTCACCATTGGCGATCTGGATGAAATGCTTTTTCCCCACCCTTCCTGTGATTCCTGTTGCAAACAAGGAGGCTTTAAACTCCCTTCTGATTTGCCCTCAGTGCTCAACCACAGTCGGCAGGTTTCGAAACTGCCCAGGGACACCCCAATGGGTTTCAAACTCCATCTCCTCAACCACTCGGCAATGACTGCAGCAGCGCACTACCCACTCACCTTTCCAGGTCTCTCTCCCTGTGGAGCTGAGGAAGAGTGACTCATTACTGGGTTTGTTTGAATCCAATCACTTCACAGATTTCAAAAGGGTTAAATTCAGTACATGGTGGGTCTGCTTGTTTCATTTAAAAATAAAAACATAAATTGCCAGAAAATCTCAGCAGATCTGGCAGCATCTGTGGGCAGAGAATCAGGGTGTTTCAGAACTGTTTTCTCCCACAGGTACTGCCAAACCTGTTGAGTTTCTCCAACAGTTTCTGTTTTTGTTTAATTTTCCCAACATCCGCAGCTCTTTACGTTAGCTATTATAACAACATCAAAACGCCTTTGCGGTTACTCAGTGGATAAGATTTCCGTTTGGGGAGCATTTTCCTAACCGCATTAAAAACCCGGACCTATATCACAAAAATGGAACTAGTAGAGTGAGAACAGTGCTTGCTCCTGCCTTTGTGACCTTGAACCACCAACCTTGCACGTACGAGCTGAAAGCGCTGACCAATTGCACCACGGAAGCTAGCGAGCAGTTGACTTGCATGCTCCTTTAAAACAGGCTCTTATTTAATTGTTCTGAACAAAACAGCAAGGAAGGAACCTCTTCAGGTCGCTATACGGAGGCGACAGCCTCTCCCACTGAAAGCATGGGCTGTTCTTAGTCCCTGCCCAGTGTTCCCTTTCTTCCATTGAGGTCAGAGTCTTCCATAGATCCTGATTGGATGACAGGTTCCCATCGCTGATGAACACGAGTGAATTAGTTGGTGATTTAATAGTAAGATGGCAGCTCTTATGGTCACTATTCCCCTGTGCCAGCCTCATAAATTACCAGATCATTCACCTTGATTTCACAAGCGACCTTTCTTTTTGTGTGTTATCTTATGCTCCTTTTCTTTTGTTTCTGGTCAATTCCACATTGTTTTGGAATTTGAGGATGTGCAGTCGAGAAACAGCATCTGACAGAATTGCTTCATTGTAATGTAAGTTGAATATCATCAGATTTTGAACATGGAAGGTAGATGCGCCATTCACAGTGAAGAGAAACTGTGCACAGATTCCGTGTGCGGACGAGGCTTCAGGCGATCAACTGACTTTGTGAAACTGAAGCAATGCCACACTGACAGGAAACTGTGGATCTATGGAGACAGTGGGAGGAGTTTCAATTACCCATCCAAGCTGCAAACATAGTGGTGTCATCACACCAGCAAGAAACTGTTCACCTGCTTCGTGTGTGAGAAGGCATTCAAAGCAGTTTCACACTGGAAAGGGGCTGTTTCCCTGCTGTGAGTGTGGCAAGTAATTCATTCAGTCATCCCACCTGCTGACACAACAGCAAGTCCATACCGGGGAGAGACCATTCACCTACTCCAGGTGTGGGAAGGATTTCTCCCGGTCATCCAGCCTATTGAAACACCAACAGATTCACACTGAAGAGAGACCCTTTAAATATGCAGATTGTGGGAAGTGCTATAAAAGCTCAGGTGGACTGATGTACCATCAACATGTTCACACTGAAGGTCGACAGTTCAGGTGCGCTCACTGTCGGGCTGGGTTCAGGACATCATCAACCCTCACTGTACACCAGCAAATACACACTGGGGAGAGGTCATTCACCTGCTCTGTGTGTGGGAAAAATTCAGTCGTCTCGCTTAATGAAACACCAGCAGGTTCACAAGTAACTTCAGTGATTGGATTTTTTTTTGTTTGTTCATGGGATCATGGCAACTCAGCAAGCATTTATCATCCCTTCTAACTGCCCAAAGGATGATTAAGAATTAAGTTTGTTGTTATATGAAAGGGAGATCAGGAAGGCAAAGAGGGGATGTGAGATAACCTCATCTGCGAAGACTAAGGATAATCCAAAGAGGTTCTACTAGTACACGTACAGCAAGAGAGCAACTGGAGACAGAGTTGTGCACATTAAAGATCAAGGAGGTCACGCTTGTGTTGAAACTCAACAGATGGGAGAGATATTAAATGAATATTTTGTGTCAGTTTTTATTGTGGAGAAAGCGAGGCCAAATGTTCACTCTCCATGTATCAGGCTGGACAGTTCCTGTTGCCAAAGTATTTGACCAAGAGCCAAAGAAATGGAGATTAGTTGATATTTCTCGTGGCCGGATTGACGTTCTACTCTGTGTGGCTTGCTGCTACACTTCGAGTCAATGCGTTACCGAGGCTGGAGGGTTTGAGTTATGAGGACAGACTGGATAGGCTGGAATGTAGGAGGTTGAGGGGTGACTTTGCAGAGTTTAGTAAAATCATGAGGGGTGCAGATAAGCTGAATAGCAAAGGTCTTTTCCTTTGGATCGGGGAATTCTTATGTTTTAAGGTGAGAGGAGAAAGATATAACAGGGAACGATGGGGAAACCTTTTCAATCAGAGGATAGTTTGTATGTTGAATGTGGACACTGAAAAGGTTATCTAAGATTACAAAGAGATCTTGATCAATGGGGACAATGGGCTGAGGAGTGGCAGATGGAGTTTAATTTGGATATATGCAAGGTATTGCATTTTGGTAAAACAAACAAGGGCAGGACTTATACAAATAAAAGTAGGACCTTGGGTAGTGCTGTAGAACAGAGAGAACTAGGGGTTCAGTGACATAATTCTTTGAAGTTTGTCACACGCCTAGACAGGGTGGTTAAGAAGGTGTGTAGTTTGCTTAACTTAATTGCTCAGACCTTTGTTTACAGGAGTTGGGACATCATGTTGAGGTCATACAGGACATCGTTGAGGCCTCTTCTGAAATACTGTGTCCAGTTCTGGTTGCCCTGTAACAGTTAGGATATCATTAACCTGGACAGGGCTCAGAAGAGATTTACCAGGAAGTTGCTAGGAATGCTTGGATTGAGTTATCGGGGAGGCTGGATAGGCTGGGACTTCTTTCACAGGAGGGGAGGAGGTTGAGGTTGACCTTGACCTGAAAGAGGTTGATGAAATCCTGAGGAGTACAGATAAGGTGAATGGCAGGTGTCTTTCCCCGAGGGTGGGGATTTCAAGATTAGGGGGCGTATTTTTAATCAAACTGAATTAGCTTTATTGTCACATGTACTCACATGAGTATAGTGAAAAGTTTACAAGTCAGCATTTATGGCACCATCTTAGATACAAAGGTACCTAGGTATAACACTACGCAGGGCCCTACCACTAATTGAATAAGTCCTGCCCTAAGGTGAATGGCAGGTTGTTTTTCATTAGGTTGGGGGAGTTCAAGACTCAGGGGCATATTATTAAGGTGAGAGGAGAAAGATTTAAAAAGGGCATGAGGGGCAATTTTTGTTTCACAGAGTGGTTTGTGTGTGGAATGAACTACCAGAGGAAGTGCTGAATGTGGGTACAGTTACAATGTTTAAAATACATCTGGAAAAGTACTTAAGTAAGAAATATTTAGAGAGATATGAGCCACATGCAGGCAAGTGAACCTACTTTAGTTTTGGAAAGGGGTCGGCATGGACTGGTTGCACCAAGGTGTCTGTTTCTGTGCTGTCTGGCTCTATGACTCTATGTGATTGAAACTTATAGAATACTGAGAGGCCTGGATAGATGGACATGAAGAAGATGTCAACATATTGGAGAGACTAGAACCCAAGTGCACAGCCTCTCAGTGAAGGGATGACCCTTTAGAACTGAGATGAGGAGGAATTTCTTCAGCAAGAGGGTGGTGAAGCTGTGGAACTCATTGTCATAGAGGGCCAATTCATTGAGTGCAATGATGACAGAGATACATAGATTCTCGATTGTGGGGATCAACGGTTGCCGGAGAAGGCAGAAGGCAGGAGAATGGTGTTGAGAAACACATTAGTCATGATCAAATGGTGGAGCAGAATCGATGGGGCAAAGAACCTAATTCTGCTCCTGTATCTTGTGGTGTCAGGGTTATTGTGGGTGACTTCAATCTGAACATAGATCACGCAAATCAAATCAGTAACACCATAGAGGAGAAATTCCTGGAGTGTGTATGAGATGGTTTTCTGGATTGATACAGTGAGGAACCAAACGGAGGACAGGCCATCCTAGATTGCATATTCTGTAATGGCCGGGGGGGTGGGGGTGGTGTGGGTTAGCTCAGTTGGGTGGATGGCTGATTTGTGATGCAGACTGATGCCAACAGCATGCGCTCAATTCCTGTACAAGCTGAGGTCACCATGAAGGTCCCACATTCTTAATCCTGCCCCTTGCCAGAGGCATGGTGACCCTCAGGTTAAAGCATCATTACTCATCTCTCTCTCTGAAGTGAGAGAGCAGTCCTATGATCTTCTGGGACTATGGCAAATTTAATTTCAGCATTTAAATTGAGTAATGAGAAAGGAATAATTTGCAATCTAGCTGCGAGAGGCCCCTAGTGGAAGAATGAAGAACTCAGTGACAGAACTCTTCATTCAGATGGAGAGTGACACTTTTGAGTCTGAGAATGAGGGCCAAATTCTAAACAGAGAGGAAATTACAATGGTATGACGAGCACGTAGGCTGCAATAACTCAGGGAACGTAAACTTAAAGGGATGACAAACATTTACAGAGCACTTGGAAGACCTGCAACTGCTGTTAATTCCTATCTGGCACAAAATAAACCAGGAAAGGTAGCCCTGCCACATAAGACGGGAAAAATAGAGTACGAGAGTAAGCTTGTGGGGAACGTATAAACTAATTGGAAAAGCTCCTAAAGATAAAAGGAAGAGCAAAAAGATCAATGAAAACAAATTGCTTACAACCAGAAACAGGGGAGAAATTATAATGTGAAAGAAAGAGATGGCAGAACAATTAACCACATATTTTGGTTCTGTCATCAGAACGAATGACAGAATAATATCCTTAAAATGCTGGGGAATGCAGGAGAGGGAGAAACTGAAGGAAAACAGTATTAGTAGGGAAATGGTGTTGAGGAAATTGATGGGATTAAAAGCCAACATATCCCAGCACCTGGTAATCGACAGCCCAGAGTACTTAAAGTGGCCCGCGAGATAGTGGACACATTCTGAAACTAGGGGCCTGAATCTGAACAGAGGAGATTGATCGTCATTTTTTTAAGATTCTATGGACTCTGGAACAATTCCTATGGATTGGAGGGTAGCTAATGTAAGTCCACTCTTTGAAAAAAGGAGGTGGAGAGAAAACATCGATTTACAGACTGCTTAGCCGAAAACTGGAAAACAGTGACAAGATTGGACAGAGTCAATCAGCCTGGATTTATGAAAGGGAAATACAGATGGACAAATCTGCTGGAATGTTTCAAGAATGCAAAGTTTAGAGTTGATAGGGAGGCAGTGGATGTAGTTTACTTGGGCTTTGAGAAAGCATTCAAAATATCCAACAGAAGAGATTAGCATGTAAAGTTGAAGTATATGGGATTGGGGGTAGTATATTGACAGAGAGGAAACAAAGTACAAGAACAGTCAGGTCATTTTTTGAGTGGCAGCCAGTGACCAGTGTGGTACCGCAGGCATCAGTGCTTGGACCCCAGTTATACCCAATATCTGTTAATGATTTAGATGAGGAAATTTAAATGTCATATCTCCAAGCTTGTAGATGACAGGAATCTGGGTGGGACAGTGAACTGTGAGGAGGATGCGCATATGCTACAGTGTGATTTGGAATTAAGTGGGTGGGCAAGAATACAAAGTGGATATAGGATGTTGTGGACAAAATGGGAGGCTATGCAGTCTGATCACAACAACAGAAAGACAGATTATTATCTGAATGGAAATAGGTTAGGAAAGGGAGAAGATGCAATGAGACCGGTTTGTCCTTGTACCCAAGTTGCTGAAAGTAAGCGTGCAGGTGCAGCAGGAGGTGAAGAAGGCAAATGCTATGTTGGCCTTCATTGTGAGAAAATTTGAGTACAGGAGCAGGGATGTCTTGCAGAAATTGTACAGGGTCTTGGTGAGACCACAACGAGAGCATTGTGGGAAGTTTTGGAATACTTATCTGATGAAGGATGTTCTGGCTATGGAGGCTGCACGACAAAGGTTTACCAGACTGATTCCTGGGATGGCTGGACTGACATATAAGGGCAGAATGCATTGGTTAGAATGAAATTCACTGGAGTTTAGAATAATGAAGGAAGATCTCACAGAAACCAAAAAAAGTCGAACAGGACTGACAAGGTAAATGCAGGAAGAGTGTTCTCAATGACCGGGCAGTCTAGAACCAGAGGTTAACAGATTAAGGATATGGGCTCGGCCACTTAGCACTGGGATGTGGAAAAGTTTCTTTATTCAGAGACTGATGAGTCTGTGGAATTTGCTGCCACAGAAAGCAGTTAAGGCCAAAACATTGAATGTTTCCCAAGGAAAAGATAGATATCGTTCTGAGGGTTAAAGGGATCACAGAGCATGGGTCCAAAGTAGGAACAGGTCACGGAGTAGAATGATCAGCCATGATCATACTGAATAGCACAGCAGGATCAAACATCACAATGGCCTACTCCTGATCCTCTTCCCTGTGTTTCTATTCTGTTAAACATGGGATATAAAAACAAAACGACTGTAACTCCCACAGATATCAGCATTACCTTGTCACCACTGGATGAAAATCCTGTAACTCCTTATGGAACAGCAATCTGGGAGCAACTTCACCGCACAGACTGCAGCAGTTCAAGAAGGTCAAGGAGGTGCAGTGATTTTGGAAGGTTCAGGACTGATTGCTCTGTCTCTCATTTTCTATCCGGTTCTAAAATAGTTGAATGTTCCAAGAAAAGCAACATAGGAAATAAGAAAATACTTATGGAAGTTTGCTGAAACTGTCTACATTCACTGTTGAGTTAGAAATTAATAAGGTTCTACATGGCCGTGAACAACTCATTATCCAAGGATTGCACAAAAGCTTGGCATCCATTGTTTGAAACTGGTTAACTGAACTGACACTTTACATGAATTTTATTTTCATTTCAAAATACCCTTATCTGAGAGAGTGGAGGTTATGAATAAAGACTGTGTTTGTATCACAGATATTGATTAGATTGCTCAGTTGTTTACTTTTGTTTTGCTCAAGTAATTGTCATTTCTTTTCTCTAAACTTGGTGTCCAAGATCTGTTAATCATAAAGTCTGGTTTGGGCAATTTAGATGGCCATTAAATTTTTAAATTTACATTTGGAAATGCAATCAGAATTTGGTTTCATTGTCACCTGTAATCAATTACAGGCATACAAGAGTGCAGTGAAAAGTTTACAATGTCTCCGTTTTGTACCTAGGTACAAAATCACAAGAAAATAATTTCACTGTGTTGTGAATCCAGTGATAGTGATGCTGATCTGTTTTTGATTGCTATTCTTGTGCTATAACAATTATTTGATGCTCAGTCTTAGTATAGAAGCAAAAATGATCTCCAGTGCAGGACAAATAATTTCTGATCGTGAGAAGATAAAGCTGGGAAATCAGCAACATCTAACCAGTGATGGGCAGCAACGGAAATCTCATTCAGTCACAATCAGCAGAAATAACAACAAAATAAAAAACAACGATATGGATATTCTGTCGACTGGGTCAGAACTTATCTGATTATGCCAGCCAGGAGAGACAAAAGATACTGTGGAAAAATCAGGACAACGACAGGGATACACTTCCCCACCTGAACAGGCCGCCAAATGTGCTGTCACACCAGGGATATACCATTCCCCTGCTCCATGTGCAGGAAGGATTCAGTCAGACATCCAGCTGCTAAGACACCTGGAAGTTTACAGGGGGTTACAGGACTTGGATTCTGGTGGGATTGCTGCTATTTATCACATCCAGCTTCATCTCACCTTCATATTGCAGTTTTACTGTTGTAATCCCTCCCACCGGGAATAATGAAACAAAACTGCAGAGCCCCAGAAGGTGACACTGGAGTAGATCAGGGATGGAGGGGAGAAGAGTGGGGGATGGGAAAAGGGAGCTCCGGAACTGAGGTGCGAACCATCATACGGCATCACGCACAAGTCTTTACGTCACTACGCCAACAGCGCCTGCGCACACCCACCGCCCGCTGAAACAAGTGGCTACTGATGACTGGGGCCTGTTTCTGGGAAGAAGCCTGAGGTTCTCTGCGGCTTAAATCGCGGCAGCGGAAAACCCATATTTGGAGCTTGAGACCTAAAGTGAGCAACAATGAAACTTTCTGGTCAGAATATCACGCCGAACGCTGGTTTGGTCTTTAAATTTTACTCACCGCCTAACAATGTGATAGACGAATATTTTTTTCCGAACATCCTTCACGGCACGCGCATGCGCGTGATCCGAAACGCTGCATGCCCGCTGGATGACGTCCCTTGACCAATTGAAAGCAAGGGGCGGGACTGGAGGTTTGACGCGGAGCTGCCGGGTCAATCTGGGAGAACGAGGGGCGGGGCGCGTGTTCCGACCAATCGGGAAATGTGGAGGGCAGAGTCTCCAACCTATAACGGCGTGAGTGAGGGGCGGGTTTGTCTTACATCCAGTCACTGAAATGGAAGGCGGTTTGGAGCTGTGAACAGGGCGTCAGGTTTTAAAGTCAAGAATAAGAGCTTGCACTGACATTGGAAAAAAGTTTAATCTATTTTCTGAAAGGTGAAGACTGCAGGTAAAAATCTGGCAGGCCCAATTTATATAGCATAACAGTTGCAGCTTTAGCCACTTCGAGTCATCGTGTCATACACATGGAAAAAGACCTTTTGGCCCAACCAGTCCATGCCGACTGCAATCCCAAACTAAACTATTCCCTCTGCCTGAGCTTGGCCCATATCTCTCCAAATATTTATTATTCGTGCACTTATCTAAATGTCTTTTAAACGTTGTAACTGTACCGGCATCCATCAATCCCTCTGGAAGTTCCACACACCAACGAATCAGCGTAAAAAGAAAAATGTCTTTTTAAAGTTTTCCTCCTTCCACCTTTAAAATTTGCTTCCTTGATGTGAAATCCCCCACACTCGGAAAAAGACACCTGCTATTCACCTTATCTATAACCCTCATGATTTTATAAACCTCTGTAATGTCACTCCACAAGATCCTTCGCTCCTGCTCAAAATGTTCCAGCCTATCCAGTCTCTCCATATAACTCAAACCCTCCAAAGCCAGTAACATCCTGGTAAGTCTCTTCTGAACCATCTCCAGCTGAATAATATCATTCCCATAGCACAGTGCACCGAACTGTACACTACTCCAGAAGAGGCCGCACCAACATCATGTGCAACCTTTTTTTACAGCATGTTCAATGGAAAGCTTTCTACAGAGAAATGTAGATTCTGTAATTCCCCTGCTCCCTCCACTGAGCCCTGCAAGCTTATTTCCCTGAAATGATTATCTCATTTCCTTTGTAGGTCATTGATTATCTTCGATTCCACCCATAAGCAGAAAGTACTACCCATTCTAGGGGACAAAAAGAGAGACAGTGTACGAAACAGATAAACAGCCCTTCGCGGAATTTATCCCAGCACTGTGTCAGCGATATGGGAAAGGTTGTCGAGCTAAAACATCATCTCCGTTTCTCTCTCCCCAGAAGATCCTTCTCCTGCTGACAAATTATGCTTTTCAGTGAATAATTGAGGTGTTTCCCGCCGGTACTGATTATTATCCAAACAATGAGACTGGTCTCTTCCAACATATTCTGTTTTGCTCAACAACATTTTTCCCACAGCCTGATGCCCCAGTAATCCCTGCTCCATGTCAATAAAAGCTGCTCCGGGTGAGGTTGGAGCTCACAGCCTCGGCATTTCACGCGCCTCTATACCGTCATAGAAGGACCGTGCGCTCACCGATTGCGTCACTTATTCCTTGTGACACGTGCTACAGAAATGTGGCAAAATATCAAACATTTTTACGCGAAAATATTCTCCCAGTTGATGACTTTCTCCCTTCAGACCCTCGCTCTCACATATCTGCGTTTGATGCATCAGAATTTAAGCCCTCCTCTTGGAGAATTCTCTCTCTCCCACAATCACTAACTCTCCTTTCCATCCATCCTTCCACTTCATTAAGGCACTGCACAATCAGACACCCATTTTCACATTGACATCGTTCAGTCTGCCCTGTTTTGGTCAATGATGCTGGGTACACGTGCCCCAGTTTCACCACTGGGACCTTCAAGCCAGTCGATCCATTTAGATCCCGCGGTTGTGAAATCAAATGGCATGTAGCAGCTTTTACTGACGTGGACCAGTGAACATTGGAGCATCAGACCCGGGAAAAAGGGCACAGGGTAATACTTGGTCAAAAGAGACTTCGTTGGAAAAGACCATTTTCTGTGGATTTCTGCATCATTTATTTCATTTGTTCATTGGCTACAGCTAGAATGTTGTGTGCAGTCTTGTAATTCCCATGATAGCAGGGATTTGATAGCACTGGATACGATGCAGAAGAGATCTACCGGGATATGGTCTGGGCTGAAGAGTTTCCGTTATGAAGAGAGATTGGACAGACTGGGGTTGTTTTATTTAGAGCAGAGGAGATTTAAGACCAGATTGAGATGTGCAAAATAAGGAGAGCTTTTGATAGGGTAGACTAAAAGAAATGTATCCTCTTGATGGAGGGATCGATCACAAGGGGGGAATAGATTTAAAGTAAGATGTAGGAAGGTTTGAGGAGATGGGTGTAAAAACCTTTTCAACCAGTGCGTGTTTTTAATCTGCAAGCCACTGCCAGTAAGTGTCCTAGAGACAGATATCCTAATAAATTTAAGAAGTATTTAGATATGAATTTGTGATGCTAAGGCATACAAAGCTATAGGCCAAGCAACGGAAAATAGAATTCGGCTAGTGAAGCAGTTTTATTTGACTGTGCACACATGAAGGGCTCAAGGGCGATATGCTCGTGTGCCGTCCTTGGTAGTATAGTGGTTAGTATTCCCGCCTGTGGTGCGGGAGACTGGGGTTTATTTCCCTGCCAGGGCGACTCGACACATTTTTGGGACCTTTCAGCGAAAGGGACTCAGCTTCGATTCTACCTCAGGTGACGTCTGTGCGGAGTTTGTGCCTTCTCCCCTCTGTCTGCGTTGGGGTTTCTTCCCACAGACGAAACACATACAGGTTAGGTGAATTGGCCGTGGGAAATTACCCCGTCGTGTGCAGACCAGATAGTCCGGCTGTGGTGAATGCAGGTTTACAGAAAGCTCTTGTAGGGTCTGAGGAAGGGTCACCGGACCCGACACCTTAACCTTCTTCTTCACAGATGCTGCCAGTCCTGCTGAGCTTTTCCAGCAACTTTGCTTTTCTTTGAGGATCAACATCACTTCAATGGGGGGAAGGGTCTCTGTCTATACGGTAGAGTTTCTATGGTTCTATGCGTGTTTGTTTCATTTAGGATTTTGAACTTGTCTGCACCAAAATGTGCAGCTCCTTAATATCTGTTCAGAAGAGAGGTGGTCTCAATACGACTCCATGGAACCACGCTGTGCATTGTGCTCGAGTCTGGAAAACAATTCTTCACCGAAAATTTTGCATCCCCGCTGTCACGGTGCTTTTCATTCCATGACATGACCCACACTACACCAACTGTCATCATCATTTCTACGTTAAAGAATACACAGCTATTTACATATATCTCTCAAAGAAGAGTGAAATTAGTGTCAGTGCACCTCACTAATCGGATACAAAATTGCATCAAGAAACAACAGGTTATTGTTGCTGGGTGTTTTTGTCATGGGTAGTCTGTTTCCAGGCTTGGTGCAAGGTCCCATGATATCTGTGATAGGAATATGGACGTTGAAGCAGGAATTTGCCAATCTGTCCTTGCAGTCTGCTCCATTATTCAATATGATTATGGAGATCACCCAACTTAGTACCCTGTTTCAATGTTCACTCCATACCCGTTTGTCCCTTGAGGCCGAAGAACAATAACTAACTGCCTCTTGTAAAAAGAATCAATGTTTTAGCTTCAACGGCTTTCTGTAGCACAGAATTCTTCAGGCTTGTTGCCCTTTGGGTGGTGATTTTCCCCTTACCTCAGTCCTAAGTCGCTTACAGCTTATCGTAAAGTGTGATCTCTGGTTATGGACTCTCCAGTGATCGGGAACATGCATCCTT